AGAGGGGGAGGATTTTGAGGTTTCAGATGCTTAAGCCGGGCCCAGTGCCATCTCTTTTCCTGCTGCCTGCTGATCCTGATGTAGAACTCTCAGTTACCTCTCCAGGACCAGCCATGTCAGCCTGCTGCATGCTACCATGCTTCCCACCATGATGACAATGGACTAGGCCTCTGAACTGTAAGCCATCCCCAGTGAAATGTTTTCCTTCATAAGCGTTGCAGTGGTTATGGGGTCTCTTCACAGTAATAAAACCCTAAGCCAGCATCTCTCAACAGAAAGTATGTTTGGAATCTGAGGAGCCGTGGAGGACTGCCTTGGTCTTAGAGATGAGGAGACTAAAGCAAGAGTGGGAAGGAGCTTCCCCAAAGGCACATGGAACTGGGGGGACAAAATGGTGCTAGAATAACCTCAAAGAGATGTTTTCAGGTGGGGAGGTATCCCTTCTCCCTCACCCCAGGTGGCCTGCATGTGCAGGGTCTGAGGCTGCTATGTTCAGGAAGAGTGGGCAACCGCTCAGTCCGTCACTGTGTCTCTTAGCAACGGACTGCACCATCTCCGCAGAGTCCTTGCTATTTCCTAGGAATGTGTCTGTGTGTCCCTTGTTGATTCTCAATTATCAGAGATTAGGGTAATCCTAGCCAAACTATATCCTCCCAGGTCAGAGGCATCATCTTGTTCACAGTCAGTCTTTGGCACGTGGCCTGCCCTTTGCTGTACTCACCCTGCTCGGCCTCCACTTGCCTCCTAGGCAGTTTGTGGATGTGGGAGGCATGTTCCAACCCCAGGGCCTTTGCATATGCTGTTCCTGCTGTGAACTCCCCCATCATGCCCAGATGTGGGTGTGACTCTGTCTCTCACCTGCTTCCAGCATTCCTCAAGTGTGTCTTGCCAATTTTCCCTGGCTCTAGGGGCCCCCGCCCTCTTTTACTATTTTCTTTAGCTCTTATCTCTTAATGTGCCACTCACTCAGTGTGCCCTCCGTCATTCCTGCTGGCCTCTGAATTCTAGCTAAAGAGAGTGTCTCTATTATGTTCTGCTGTACTGTAGTCCCTGGGATGCACACAGCACATGGCATGCACCCCATAAAGATTAACAGAAAGGAGGAGGAGGCAGGGAAAAAACAGACAGGCTGCCTGCAAGGTGATGCCCAGCAAACAACTTTCAGAAGAACCAGGGTCAGAGGACGGAGTTCACAACACCACACAGAGGCAAGCAGGCCAGGGACCCGGTCCAGCAAGCTGTGTGACCTGGGGTAAGCTGCTCCCCCTCTCTGAGCTTCTCTGTAACAGGAGGGCCACATGTTTGAGAAATGTTGGGGCCAGGGCTTAGAAAACACCCCACAAGTGTCCACACTGTTATTAACAGTATTAATAGGAAATACAATTTACACTGGCTGAGTTGTGTGCTAAACTCCATGGACATCGCAGTGACCCAAGATACAGTCACTTTCCTCAACCACTGGTGATCATGTAGGGGTAACTGATCACACCTCTCTTGTTCACAAAAGTACAGTGAGGCAAGAGCTGAAAGTCACTCCCTCAAGGGGGTCAGGGAGGCTTCCTGTAAGATCTGCCATCCCAGCTATGGGGACAGGTCCCAGGGAACAGGAAGGAAAACCCTGTGGACAGGCAGAGGCCATGACATACAAAGGCTGGCCACGTTCTCCACCACATAGCACAGAATGTTCACCCTCCTTTAACAGATCCTAAAATTAAACTCAGAGAGACAGAACTACTTCTTGAGGTCACACAGCAAGTGAAGGGCTAAGCTAGGATTCGAATAGACATCTCAGGATTTTCATAGAGGTCATTCTTCAGAGCCCGAGGCCACGTGAGGTGGTGACCAGAAGACAGACTGAGAGCAAGAATACCGGGTCCCCCCCCCCAGATGAGACAAATGCAGAGGTCAGGGGTGGCAGGAAGGGCTTGGCCCCCACCTCTGTCCTGCCTAAGGGACTCCCAGCCCCCCACCTCTGCAGAAGGACGGTACCTCCATCAGGTCTATAAGCCACAGCAGCCGCTCCTAGGGAGGGTAGATGGGCAAAAGGCAAAAAGAAAAATATATGGAATGAATGTCAGGGGATCAAGAGGCTTCAGCATAGTCACCCCCAACACACACACACACACACACACACACACACACACACACACACACACACACACACACACACACACACACACACACACACACACACACACACACACACACACACACACACACACACCCTCAGACAAAGCTGGAAGGCCCTGCTGCTCTGGGGAGCTAACCCTATCCTTCTCAGGGGTCTCCAGCATTTCCAGTCACAGATGGGAAAAGCAGGCTGGAAGGGAGCAGTTTGTCCCAGGTCACACCTGCTGAGGACAGGCAGTGATTCAGAGGGAATCTGCCTGGAGAATTTGATCCAGCAGGCTAGGCCCTCAGAGACCAGCTGTATACCTAGAAAGCAGCTTCAAATGGTGCCTGAGAGTCCCTGGCAAAGGGAGGGGCAGCAGTTCTCAGCCCAGTGTCTTCCAAAGCCTTTGGGTACATCAGGCCCAGTGAGCACATCTCTAAGGGGGTTGCCCAAGCAGGAAGGGCAGCAGGAAAAGGCAAAGCGTCATTTGCCCGAGTGAGCAATGTGGCCACATTCCACATTCCAGTACCCAAGATGGTTTTCTTTTTCTGTTCTCCTTACAAGTTGGGGACTTAGCATAACAATTCCCCAACAAGAGAGGAAACTGAGGCATAGAGAGGTAAGGGGACTTCCCTACCTGCAAGCCTCTCTTAGCTCCACTCCAGGAGCTCTCCTCTCTGCCTGAAGTGTGTATGTTCTGTTCTGACATTCCTGGGCACCCTGATTGGTCACGGATTCTGAGTGGTCCCCATTTTAGGAACTATGCAAAGGGACTTTGGGGTAGTCTCCATCTGCTCCGAAGCTGCTTGTGCACAGCCACTCTTGATGTGCGATCTGCTGTCCCAGGGTGTGCCATGCACATTGAGGCCTTGCTGGTGCTGTTCTCAGCTAACCAGAGGAAAGACTTCTCAGGGATGGGAAGGTCATTGCTACTCTCTACAGAGCTCTACTCAGGCACAATGGCCTCTTGGCTCCTCTTGTCCTGTAGCCAGCTGTGTTCTCAGGAACTGAGGTTACTGTAACCAGAGCTAGCAGGATCTTACACAACTGATGCATGGGGAAACTGAGGCACAAGGACACTAGAACTTAAACCCAGATTTCCTGCCTCCTAGACCAGAAGACACTCTCACTAGGGCACTCTGGTCCTGACTATCCAAGAGCTGCATTCGGCTTGTATGTAATCCCCTGGGTTTTAGAGCTGTGCTTAGTGGCTCTTGGAGCTCCACGTGGACATCTTAAGGCCAAGGTCAAAAGAATCAGACTCAGTGAAAAGTAGAGTGCAGACCAGGGCCCAAAGCCTGAAACGACCTCATTGTGAGGTGCTTCAAGCCTGTGGTTGGAGCAAACTTAGCAGCATGGGTGCAGGGCCTCAGTCTTGCCCAAATGACCTGTCCTTCTGGAGACTTGAAAAACAGTTGCTGGCATATCCATAGCCCTGGAGGGCAGGCATGGCAGTCTCTGGGGTCACCTCAGGAAAAGACAAGGACCCTTGAAGATGAAAGAGATGGAGCTCCAGACTCCAGAGCTCCAGTTTTAAAGAAAAGCCATGTGAAGAGTCAAAATCTGTAGGAGTGAAGGCTGTTCTCTGTGGGGGTCACCAGAGAGCCACTAGGTAGCTCATCCCTCCTTAAGGCCAGCCTGCCACTGAACTTACTGAGTTCTGGCTTCAGAGTCACCATTATGTCAATCCCGTCTCAAAGATGACAATACCAGCTCTGGGCCTCCAGCCCACCCACCTGACTCTCCCCCCATAGGATACCTGGCTGTCCCCTAAGATAAGAAACAAGGCATTTTCAACAAGATGATGGGACAGATTTAGTAGACTTCCTAGGGGAGGCCTTACCCAATCTTAGGTGAGCAGATGGGAGGTGGTGGGCAATGGGGGGAGCAGGAGGAGAGGAGGGAGGAGGAACTGGATTGGAATGTAAAAAAAAAGTAAATGAAAAAAAGAAAAAAGCAACAAGGCATTTGTTGTTCGGTGTGGTAGTACAGTCTACTCTCAGCATTCAGGAGGCAGAGTAGATCTCTGCAAGTTTGAGGCCAGCCTAGTTACATAGCAAGTTCCAGGCTAGCCAGGGCTGTATATGTTTCAAAACAAAAGAAAAAAACAAAATAGACTAAACAAAAACAAACAAACAAAAACCCAAAGCAAACAAAACCCAAGGCATTTGCCCTTGAGAATCCTGGGAGTAGAATCACATTACAGGATCATTTAGGTGTTGTACTAGGAGCTGCTGAGTTGGCAGGAAAACCAAGCCAGGCTTGGGGCTCCACACACAACAGGTGGCCTATTGTAAAACCCAGAACCATAGCCCAAACCACCATGATCACTACTGTGTCAATCCTGACCTGAGCACCATGCCTTCCCCATTTGATCTTCCTGTGAACTGCACATAAATAGCTTTTGATTTGTCTAGTTATTCTTTAAATTTTTATCATATTTTTACCGTGTGTGTGTGTGTGTGTGTGTGTGTGTGTGTGTGTGTGTGTGTGTGTGTGTGTTGTGCACAGGAGTCTTCAGAGGTCAAAACAGGGCATCAGGTGGTGTACATGTGGGAATCAGAGGACAACCTGCAGGAGTTAGCACTCTCTTTTCCACCATATGAGTCCAAGGGACTCAATTGGTTTGGTAGCAAGCACCTTTACACTCCAATGCATCTTATTGGCCCCTAAGTGTCCCTTAAAAAAACCTTTTCCTTAGGATCCCCAGACTGAGAACCCCAGAAAGCATATCTTTCTTTCCCCTGTCCCCATGTCCAGCACACACTAGGTATCCCTCAATAGCCAGGCTCTTATACAGACGAGGAACCGAGGCTGGGTGAGGGAAGGTTAACATCTTAACTGCACCCCTGACCTTCTCACCAGGGATAGGGCAGGGGCAGCTCACCCTGGCTGAGCTGACAGTTGTGGAGGTGCCATGGCTGCCTGTGGATGAGCCCGTGTCACTGTAGGATACCATGGAGTAGGTGTCTCCAGCACCAGGACCTGGGGGCTGCCGCGCCTTCATGGACTCTATCTCCCGCCTCAGCACCAGGTGGTCAAAGCGTTCCAGGTCTTGGGGAGAGATGGTGCTCCTCACCTCAGACAGAAGAGAGAACTGCAGGGGAGGGTAGGACAAAGAGGATGCTCAGACACTCTGTGGAAAACTCCACCAGCAGGTGAGACTGGTACCTTTATTCTCAAGTGAGCTGGTTGCATGCAAGCCTGCTTTCCCCTCCTTAGCCTTCTGTGGCTCTCCAGTGTTCTCAGGGGAGCATCCAAATATCTTTACTCAAACAGCAGGCCTAGTATTGCCTGACTCCTCCTTCTCTGTCACTCTTCCTTCTCAGCACACACAGGTAACAAAGTCCCAGAACACTACCATATTCATGCCACAAAGTGTTTGGCCATCCTTTCTATCCAGAATGCCCTCTCAATCCTGTTTGCCTGCAAACAGTATTTCCTCTTGCCTGCCTGAATTTACATCCTCCCACCAGATGTAGTTACTTCTTCCTTTCAGCAGTTTCTGACCCACAGACTTCCACCTAAGCAGGCTTCTCAAACTAGTTAGGCCCTCTCCATCACCCTGGACCCTGTTTGTTAGGAATATTCTGTGATAATGGTCACTGAACTCTGTCCCTGTCCCCATAAGTCTGAGTTTTAAGGATGAGGCTGCCTCGGTCCCCTGTGTCTACCCAGGGTTCAGTTGAGCTGTGAGGTCTTTGTTGACATGGCAGGGGCAGAAGGCACAGGTCACCTTGGCGTGTGTATTGAGCAATTCAAACAGTGCCATGACCAGGGCCTCCACAGAGATGGCACCACCACGGTACTGGTCCAGGTAGTACATCATGGTGGCACGCTCCTGCTCCGTCAGCAGGTGCCGGGCTTGGTCATCCAGAAGTGCACGTGTCTGATTCCCCAGGCTGCTCAGGGTCACCTGGGAGCCAGCTGGGCCTTTGTAAAATCCTGGCTGAAAGACAGAAGGACAGGGAAGTCTAGGCTGCTTGGGAGCCAGAGGACCTGGGAGAGCCAGCAGCAACACTACAGTGGGACGCTGTGGCTTCTGACGTTGTTTGATGATCTAACTCCACATACATAGGAACTCTCCACTCAGCCCTGGGGTGATGGCACTGTGTGGTCATCTCTGGCCACAAAGCATTCATGGGGGCACTTTCATATTTAGCTCTTGTGTTTCCTTGTGTCTATCCATTCACACTATAGATGCTCTGGGCTTTGCTGTGGTGATAAGAGTCCCTGCATTTCTAAACTATAATTCAGATCTATATCCCCAACTCATTCCAAATTACACCAACATCACTGACCAGTTGATACCACACAGTCTCTCCTCAGGTTCCCTGGCCCACACTGTCACCCTGCTAAGAGTGTCTAAAATGATCTTGGAAACACATACTTCTTGTGGTGGCCTCTGCTGACACAATGCTCACTGCCCCCACCTTGTTCCATGGCCCCAAAGCCTGTGAGCACAAGTTAGCCTGCCTGTAACTCTGTTCCTAACCCCCCACTCACTCTCTTCTTCTAGTCTCCCACTAATGCATACCTAGTCTGCCCCAGGGCCCTGGATCATGCTCTAGCCTTAATGGTTCAGCTCTGCCTTCTCCCTTTGCTCAGTGTCATCTAGATTTAGTGACTCATTTCTTACTCTTTCCCAATGCACTTTGCCTTGATGGTTCCCAGAGTGTTTTCTCATTAGATATTTGTTTGAATGCTTGCACTGGCTTTATTTGTGAGTCTTCCACTGGCTGTGACCGTCCCCCCCCCATTCCCAACCCCAAGGGCAGGGACCCCGTGATTTCTGTTTACTGCCCTTATCTCTAAAGAACACAGTGGCTGGAAGCCAGCACACATCAGGACAGCTGGGCAGCCTGTCTGAAGCTCCCTACAGTGTGTAAGCCCCTGTGCATACTCTGCCTTGAACTGAGGGGAGAGGAAGAAGACACTGACGATGTCCCGCAGATGAAGAGATGTACCTTGTTTGTCCCTTCTTCTGTGAGGTCCCCTGGAAACCTATGGAGAGAAACAAGCCCTTTCAGCACATATTAGCACATGGAATGGGGTACAGAGGGAGAAGGCAGAGCTGGAGCCGGAAAGCCAGGCTTTGTATCTGGCATGGTGGCACATGCCTATGATCTTAGCACATGGGAAGATCTGAAGATGAAGACTAGCCTGAGCTACAGAGCAAACTCCAAGCCAGTCTAGGGTATGTGACCCTATCTCAAAAACATTCTTCCCATCCCAAAACAGAGTGAAAGTGTGAGAAAACACACACTCATGCATCATGGCCACTGCTTAGGAGCTGTTGAAGGACAGGTAACCCCTGAGAGCTATAGGTGGCTTTTAGCCTTCAGCATTGCCCCATCATATAAGGTAGCCTCCCGAGTGCTTTCTGCCCTGATGGGACCCAGAGTTCTCTGGTTGACATGGGAACAAGGGGCAGTTGGGAATCACAGGTGTGCGAGCATGAAAGGACTCTGGCAGGTGATCCAGATTATCCACTCACCCCCTGGGACGGTGGAGAAACAGGACTGGAAGCCCCTAGGGGCAACGTGCAGGGACACCTCAGCTCTAGCTCATATGTTTTATGAGAAAATGTAGGCTTATGCTGCAAGAGTTTAAATTTTAAGAAATAACCAGAAATCCAGTTTTTAAACAGGAAATCTGATTTTAAAAATATGTTGGAAATTATTATTTTTCTTTTAAAGACATGTAACACTATGCAGGAGAAAGGAAGTGAATAAGGGAGAAAGATAAGACACTGTTGGGGGTGTCTGACTAGGAGTCACCAGCCACCAGGTGGAGATGTCTGTTGGGGACCATAGGTGACAGGTGTTACATTGCTAGCAGACATACAGCCAACCAGCCACTATGCCTGGTTTTTGGCTTCTGAGACTTTCATTCCAAGCACCTCCTGGTGTCCTCTCTGGCAGTATGGGATGACAGAGCCTGCACTGAGTTGCAACACTAGGCACCCAGAGATAATTAAGTGATTTGCCTGATGGCAGAGACTAGGGGCTCTAAATCCTGTATTTTAGCTTTCCCTGGGGACACTGAGGCTAGGACAGGAAAGGAAAGAGCCCATGCTCATGCCCATGAGTGGAATGGATCTCGGGGTGGGGACACCGGGCTGAGTTGTGTCATGTGGCAGAAGATGAGAGGAACATTGATTCTCAGAAGTCACCCAAGGGTCCCTGAACCCTGTGCCTGAGGCCAGACCCTGCTGAGCTGGAGGCGTTTTCCCCAATCCGGGAACTGGCAATCCACTTCGTCTGGTCCACGGTGGTACGAGCGTGGGGCAGCCTTCCAACGTCCTTCACTGTCAGGATGAGGTGCCGGGATGACTTGAGCAGCTTCACCGCCTCGTCATGCAAGATGCTGAGAAAGCTCCGCCCATTCACCTCCAGAATCTGGTCCCCAACCTGCCAAGACCCAACACCATCACATGGGCTGCCCTCGTCCCAGCTTTCCTCTCCCCAGACTGAAATGAGGTCATTGGGGTTTAGAGAGGCTATATGGATGCTTGAGGGTCGCGTAAGAAGGAAATGACAATTTTTTCCCAATGTCAGTCCTGAGCCTTGCTCCTGTCACTAGAAAGGAAACTTCCTATCTAGTGACAGCTCTGAGGGTAAGCCAACTATGACTTCCCCAAAGTCCCCCATCAGAAGCAAGCCAGCTCAGAGACAAGAGTCACATGAACTCACTGGGGGATGAGGTGAGGGGAGTGAAGGCAGACACCTGCTGTTTCCATATCTGATTCTATACTGTTGAGATTTCTTATCTAGCGCATGTTATTTTTTTAAAGATTTACGTATATAAATGAATGCACTGCATGCATGTGTGCCTGGTGCCTACAGAGGCCAGAAGAGAGGTTGGAATCCTCTAGAACTGGAGTTGCAGGTGGTTGTGAGCCAACACATGAGAGCTGGGAACTGAACCTGGGTTGTGGGCAAGAGCAACAAGTCCTCTTCATCATCGAGCCACCTCTCTGTCCCCAGTTCACATTCTTTTGTCACTTTAGAATGTCAGCACCACTTTAATTTATTAAAGGAAAAAACCCTCAGAAAATAAAAACCACAATAACCGAGATACCCAGCCCCCCACTGAAGGAGCACATACTGCTCAGTGACAGTTTATGACAAACAGACAGCTTTATTTCATAATATAAAACAACAGTCAAACAAGCATGTTTAAAATGAAAAGATAATAAGACAGAAACAAAACTGCTAGCTTTCCAATACGAGCAAATCGGAAACAAAACCAGAAGAATCAGGAGGATGATGCTTCAGTGTGCAATGGGGAGCACTAGACCACCCTGGAGGGTGGGGACTCAGTGGTTAGCTTCACTCCCAGAAGGTTCCCAAGCCCAGGAATGGGACAACACCAGGCTGCTGTAACCCAAAGGGTAGCCAGCCCACCTTCGGGCTATTCTCCTTCTGAGCCTGCATTATCAGTAGTGAGGGAGTCAGACCGTCATACAGCCTGAGCTGCTTGTGGGGGTGCGCTTTTTGTTGATGTGGCTGCCTCAGAGTCATTTATGCTACTGTAAGTAATTTCAGTGAGCTCACTGGTTCACTAAACTAGACCTGGGAGGCACTATCTCTTTGGTTTGGCAGTGATGCCTTATCTAGGGAAAAGAAAAATTTGTTTGTTTCTCCCTAGGAAAAGTTAGGCAACAGGATGCTCACCCTCACTGAGGGGAACTACATGGTGCAAAACCTGGGTCAATCTGGCCCAAGGCCCATTTGCTTTCTATTACTGCAGCCTGTTGCTCCTAAGGGACCACATGGCTTGGTTTCCAACCCAGCCTATCCCAAAGCCACCTTCCTTAGCTCTGCCTACATCAGCCAGACCTTGACTCTGACCGAACTGCCAACTCTGCCTGTATTTCTCCAGCTAGCTCTCCAGCAAGTCTCATTCCTCCTGGGTGGTGACCTCTCTCCTGGGTCCTCACCTGCTCATCTGGTGGCTCCTGACTCAACATTTTATCTCTGTGGGTTTATATACAAATGACCACAGTCGTCACATAGGAGATGATAAACATGTTAGGTTAAGGGCTTCAGAGACCATCAGAATCGGGTTCAAGTCCTGTTCCTGCTATTCCCATGCCATGACATAACCCCACAACATGCCTCCCTCCCAGTAGGTTTTGTGCCCCACTTTCCTTGGATGAATATGAACTGGGGTCTTGGCCCAGGATTGTCCTCCAAACGTCTAGCTATCTGGGCCTGTCTCTATACACCACCAAACACTGACACCACCCATAATGACAAGACCCACTCCCTCGCCACTGGCTTCCCTGAGCATCTGAGACTGTAGAGAGCCCACGGGCTCCCAATAAAGACCCAACACTGCCTTAGGGCGTTGCCACCAAGTGCTCAGTAAATGTAGCTTTCTCCTGATGGTTTGAGTTTTGTGAGTTCTACCTTGGCCCACCTCTCTTGGTCTACTCTGAAGCCCAGCACAGAAGAGCTGCTCATGCACTAGCCTTCCTGTGCATAAAGGGGAAAATGACCTCTCTCCATGGTCACTTGCATGGAGCCTGTCAGGCAGCACCCCTGGATGTAGGATATCATGGCACTGTTCTGGAGTCTCTGCCACGGGAGCCATGGCTAAGGCTGTACCTCTTATATTCCATGTTTTGTTTTCCTAAGTGTCCCTCCGCAGCTTCAACTTTTAATCTTCCTTCCCACTCACTTTATTACAGCCCACAGTTTAATTAAAGGCACTGTGTCTGGGAGAGCAGCTGTGTCCAGGCATGCTTCTGAGAGCTGGGCTCTGGATCCCACCAGGGGACGGCCAGTAAAGAATAAGCTCATTCACAGGCCTGTGAGACTGGACCAGAAGTCAGATGAAACACAGGTCACCTTGTTAAATGGAAGCTTCAGATAAGTGTCAAATGCTTAGAATGATGGATGCATACCCCCAATATCCAGGGCCATCATTCAAGTCCTCCCAGTGCACTCTTCACTTATGTGAAACGCCTGTGGCCATGGGCCCCCTGGTGCTCACTGCTTAGGTCCAAGAGAGGTTACAAATCCCCTACAGGGACCAGGCTATTGTGGTTCTGAGTGTTAGCCTGCCCCCTAGCTTATATTCAGAGCCTACCATTTCTACAGTATGAGCCTGTGAGGGGTCCAGCACAGTTCATGCTTCAACTACACCCTGGATATCTGTGTGTTGGAATCCCAGGTTGACTGTCTGAGCACTGCTCCCTCGGGCCTGCTGAATAAGCCTGTCCCTGTGGGAGGAGACTGAGGTGACAGGGTTTCCCTGCCATCCAACTGGAGAATAGCAGGGTGTCAGAGTAGGACACAGGTCATCCAGATGGATGTCTGTGAGCCTGATTCCCTCATCCCTTTTTGGCCTCTTCCTCCAAGGGCTAAGCTGAAAACTACCTTGGACAGGGCACTGCCACTTGGCCACCAGGAGGCAGGATCTACACCCTACAATGTGGGGCCCACACAGGAACACCAGGGAAGCAGCCCTCAGAGGAAGCAGGGTGGCTCATGCAGCCTCTAAGAGACCTGGGAAGAACATTTTCATGATTCTAAGCCTCTACCCTCAAAATGAGAACAACACTCTGGTAACTGGCCCACCTAGACTGCTGTGTCACAGACCATAGGGAACATAGTTTTTCTGAAGGGAACCCCGGAGTCTGGGCCCAATTCCAGATTCTGCTATTTACCCACTGTGCTTTGAGTTACCTCATTACCCAGTTACGTCCTCTGGAAAACCCAGAAAATATCAGTTACTACTCTCGAGTGAGTTAGCATGCCTACACCGTGTCTCCTATACTTCAAACACACATATTAGGTGCTCAACAAACACAGGATGGACATACAGAGAGCACAGGAGGCTGCCTACGTACAGTCAGCACTCAACATGTGTTAGCTGTATTTCTGAAGACTCCTGCTTGTGCCGACGCCCTCATCACTCACCAACTACATCCTGCCATTCTATCCCTCAGAGTCCCGCCCACCATGCCCACCTCTTCTGCTTCCAGCATCAGCTGACCACCTCCCGGCACTGACCACCCTGAAAATTGCCATCTCAATTTACAGACATCTCAGCTTCCGCCCAGAAGTGAATGTGACAAGACTGGAGATGTGGCCTTGTCCCTCCAGCCTGCACTGTCCCTCGATTGACCCCTCCTTTAAGAAAACACACACTAGGAGGGGCCTCTGTTGAGAATGTTTCTAGTCTATCTACACACACACACACACACACACACACACACACACACACACACACACACACACACACACACACACACACACACACACAGCCTCCTTTATGGATTCACCAGCTTTTAATTAACCAGAAGCCACATTGGGGTTTTCTTGTGTGTCTGTGTAGGGAGGGGCTCCAATAGAAGAACGGTCATCAACAACTTGAATTTTTTTCAAACTGTGAAAAATGGTCATAAGTGTAAATAATGTTCTCAAAGGCTTTCTAAATGATAATCATCTCATAAAGCTTTTTACTAGAAATTCCAAAAAAGAGAAAGGGAGAAAAGAAAAGACATGATGGATTCAGTGAAGCACACATGAAACCTGTACCTCGGAGCTCAGGCAGGGGCATCACAGGTTTCAGGCTGCACTACCAACAAGGCACCATCACAAGGAAACAAACAAACCAGCCTGCCGTGCTTCACCTCATACCCTGCTTTCATCCTGGGCTTCACAACATGCAGGGACTCTATTTATGTTGGTGACAGGGCTTGAGAAAAGAGAGTCTGGGGTGGGTGGCAGTGGCTCTGAGATCCCTTAGCAAAGGTTGTCAGGAAAGAAGTTTGCCGAGAACTCCATCCCCATGCTGAGCAGAGAGAAGGGGGTTGGGGGGCTTTGGTCGTATTGGGACATGCCGGGAAAGGAACCAAGGGCTTCCTCATTCCAGCCCCTCATCCTTCCCAGGGCTCCACAGAACTGAAAGGTTTCATGGAACCCTCTAGGACTCTACCAAACTCCAAGGACCCATTGAAGCAGACTTTGGGGCCCTAAGTGAGGCCCTGCTGATCACAGTGTCACCACAGTTAGCATCCCCATTCTATTAAGGAGTTTTATTGCAATTATGAATCTTTAATAGTTTTCCATGTCAGGTATAAAAGTTTAATGGTTCCCCCACCCTGCCCTCCCCTTTCACTACAAGTGAACAATGCAGTTTTAATGAGACAACATTAGTTTTTCACAACAGTTCAGAAGCAGGCAAACCTTGCCCGTATTTAAAGAAACAACAATGAAAGATTGAGGTCAGTGTGTAGCTGGAGTGGGAGTAAGGACTCTACAAACTCGGATCCTGCCTGGGCAGAACCTACAGAAAAGGCAGTGGGCGGTACGGCATAGCCCATTCAGGCTCAATTCCAGCTTGTGGCACCTGCTCCCCTCTTGCAGCCATGGCAGATCTGTAGTTTCCACCGGGA